TAAAAGATGAAATGTAGTATTGATGGCTTGAGGATTTTTTTCTCTTTAAAGTAATAAATATATTTTTTTTGGAGGAGGATTGCTGATAGCTGAGAAACATATTTCAAATGCTAATGTCATACTGAGACAGTTCTGACCACAGGGTAGAAGATGGAGCAGGCTGAGTAACTAGGCTGACATTTAATGTGAGTGGTATTAGTGTGGGGGTATTTCCAAGTACAGTTGTCATCGTGAGCCAGTTCCCAGGGTAAGAGGAGAATAAGAGCAGGTATCCAAATAAATCATGGTGTCAGCTCTGTGATGGCGTCTCAGGCTTGAGCAAAGGTCTGATTGCTAACAGCACGCATGGTACCTCTCTGTTCTCAGAACACTGGAGCTGGATTTGGGGGTCTCAGTATTATTTGTTGGGTAAAAGAACACAGCTTTACCTGTAGTGCCTCAGAATTGTTGTGCAATATTCTAGACCAAATTTTCAGATGATGAAAAATAGCAGAATGTCATGGAAGAAAATGAGGTTTGCTAACCTATTCTACAGGATAATCTGATCCTTGGAGAGTTTTCATACCATCATAAATTACTGTAACACCTGTATCTTTCAAACAAACCATCCCTCAGAAAATTAATTGGTCCTAATGGGTCACAGAAATATTTGTATCTCCTGTTCTGTGCTTCATGACATACAAATATCTTAAAATAATCACGTATGTAGATATGCATATATGTTTGTATGGGGTAATTAAAGCTTACAGGCAAATAGGTTTGCACTGTTTTAACAAAATGGGAGAGCTCTCTTCTTGGTGCACAAAGGAGAGTAACGATGATAAATCAGCCCACGAAAATGAAGTATCCCAGTGCTGACACAGGAACAGATCATGAGTTTATTAGGCAAGCTGTAGAAAAAGCAAAAGAATTTAGTTTTACAGTAAAATTAGCCCACTTTCTCTCAGTACAGCTTAAGTGGTATTGTCTTTGTTATCCAGTATGTACAGCCCATGTGTTTGGTACTTATCTTCAGGAACTTCAAACATGTATTCTGAGGGGTCATCAAAATTCACTAAAAGGAACAGTGAAGCAAAATTAGCTAGGATAATTTGAAGTGGTTCATTGGAATTGATAAAAAAATACATAGAGGAGGCAGCTTAGCCTTTAAAGACCTTGGGAATGTTGGTGATCATAATTTTTTTTGGCTATTATATTTCACAAGGGTTATGTGTATTTTAATTTCACTGAAATGTGCTCTTTTCTTGCATGTAAGATTTGTCTGACCAAGATAAGAGGAATTTGGCCATTTGTCTGGAATTTCTAAATGTTTGGCATCCTGGAAATCCTAGTGATGTTGCCACTATACACAGATTGACTGTCCAGTGCATGCACAAGACCTCCAGCGTGATCACAACGTGAGAATGATTGTGCATGTGTTAGTTGTATCTGCTCACGATTTTCCTATGCATGCTCTTCCTTCTGCTAGGAACACCTCTGTATATCAGTAGCCTTATAACTACGTCTGTTTTCAAAAGGCAATGTATGTAGAAGAAACGTGATATTTGTTTCCTTTCTAAGAAGAATTTTATCTTGTCTACTGCTGCACTCTTCAGAAGAAGAAAACATGAGCAAAGAAGGAGGGTTGCACAGATAAGGCATAAGACTAAAGATCAGGCATGGGTATGCCATTTGTTTTAGCCAGTGAGTCAATTCCCCATATGTAAGGAAATAACTCTTCTTACCATACCATTAATTCACAAATTAACCCAAGTGCATAAAAATCTATAGCAATAGTGCGTGTGCCACAAAGCAGGTACTCATTTATTTCCTAACAGGTACCTCAGGAAGACTACCTGACTCCTTTGACAGCCTAAAAGCTGCAGTCTAAGGAAATATTTTGCCAGCCCTCTCCCATTATTCCAGACAACAGCACTGTGATCCAGTGTACTGGAAGGTCATCTAACCTGAGGGGACTGAAACAGCTGACAAATGTCTACATATAACTCCATTTGCTGACCTTGCCATGTAAATGTTACATAGGAACGTGCAGTGCCTGAGGACCAAAAAAACCAACCTTTGGAATTTATTTGAAATTCTTTGCACCTGCTCTCAATTCCTTATTACTAACATCCTGCTCTAAATTTGGCCTCCAACATAGATGCCCATATGAGGTGCACTAGGCTTTATAGAGCAATTATCTTCAGATATTGAAATACATTGTGAAGAGACTTCCTACTTAGGCATGAACGTTCCTCAGTCTCTAAACATACACAGTTATCCCAACTGTTATATACCGTACTGTGTCCTTGCAACTGTGGAAAAATCATATCAAGAAGGAAATGAAAGTGAAATTTTGTAATATATGACAATAACTGCAGCACAAGTGACAGCAAGAATATACCTTCCTGCTGTGCATTAACTACAGCTCTGCTGACAAAGTGACAGCAAGTTTGGAGAGATAAGAGGAAAGCAAAACATAGCAAAAGAGATAATAATTTGAAAATGTAAGTAGCAGCCTCCACTTCTTTGGGTGTGAAGCGAAATGACATTAGCTTCCTCTACGGTTTGAATGTGAAGGCAAATATTTTAATACAATAAATCAACAACAAGGGCATGTGAGATGCTGAGAACTTCACAGTTCTTTGAAGTACCTTGTAGTGAGCGTGGCTACAAAAGATTGCAAGGTGTTTGGTATGTGCAGATTGAATGATTTTGCAAGTACTTATTTACTGTAGGAGGTTTACTATCTATTTTATGCCTACCAAAGTGTCCTATGCTTCCCACTTGCCAGTTAAGTCATTCAGCAAAACCAGATTGATTTGCTAACTGCACTACAATGTTTGATCCCTATACAGAGATAAAAATCCTTTTTTATAGTTTTTTAAGATTTATGGGGCTATACATTCATGATGATGACTTGAGACTGTCTGAACAAATACATCATTCATAAGCATTTAAAGCATTATGATATCTGCATTTTCTGCCAGGAATTCAGGAAACTTAACTGCAATAAAAGCACAAAGATTGCCACGGCTCTCCACTTCAGTTTTTCTTAGAAAATACACATTACCTTTGGAAAGCATAAGGTAAATATGCAAATACAGACCTTCACACAAATATCCTACATCCCTTCTTGATCTTTTTATGATTATTCAATAACTAGATCCTATGTTTAACTAGGTAATTGGATCATTGGCACCAAAAGCAGTTAAAACCTCTGTAATATTTTCAGTCAAAACTAATGATGGAATTCCAGAGCCCTCTGTATTGTTGGGTCTTTGGTGTGCCTTGGGGTTTGAAAATCCAGCTGTAAACAGACAAAACACTTGATAAATAATGTAACAGGAAGTGGTCTCCGTAGCTTCCATTAGTCTATCTTATTTTCACTGGATCTGTCATCCATCTCTCCACACATCACCTACCAAGCAAATGTACTGACTTAGCCCTAGTGTATATGATACATGGAACAGGAAAAGAGCAATTGAGGTCCCTGTGTTTATTTACATGATATAATCTGTAATTGATAGATCCTTTTCTGAAAAGTGCTTTATATAGACTAGTAACAGTAGAAGAACTTTGTCTCCCTACTGCTGAATAACAGAGAAGAAAGCTTTCCTTAAGATTCTTAAAGGACTCACAGTACCTTACTACAGGGACATCCTTTACTGTATCACGAAGTCACTGTGAGCTTGTGGCCAGTCCCTGCAAGGGATTCCAGTTTATAGATGGGAAACTGAAATGCTGGTATATCTACTGTGGGGAATACAGGACAGTGCAGAGATTCCTGGGCTAATTGCATCCATGAGGTTCAGTGCAACACCCTGAAGAGAAACTACCCAGAACACCGAAATGGGATAGCTATTGTAATGGTGCTTTATCTGATCCAATAAATCTGCCTCCCAGAAAGAGCGGATTGGCTTGGGCACAGGGACATTCTGGGAGTCCACAAATTCTGGCAGAAGGCATCACTGAAATGCATAGATGTATTTACAAGGGAGAAAAGAGTGACCAAGTAGGATGGTCTGTGACAGAGGAGGAGGTAAGCTTGTCCCCCTTGGAGAGCCTGGCTACTGCCACAGCGGTCGAACAAGGAATGTGACGGAATGTGGCACAATGTGACCTTGACAACAAAAAGCATCAGTTTGTTGTGGAAACAGGACAGTGATGAAGTCAGCCAAGTGCAGAATTTCTGTGGTCACTGTGTCTTGGCCTTTGAACTGGAACAGCTGCTTTCACGTCTTCTGTATGGAAACCCTGAGAAGAGGAGACTGTTGCCTTATATTTAGCCTGCTACCTGCCCTGTCTTTGGACATCAGCTACCCATGGTAATCAGCTTGCTTTACTTTCTTCCTCTTCTGCTCCTCTTCCTCAGGCTCAATAACAAACAAATTAATTGTCTTACTTGCCTAAATCTTTTCTCAGATGTGAAGTCTATGTCTTATATCACTTTTATAAAATTAATCAAGTACTATGAGCCTGAAAACAAGAGGCTGAACTCTTAGTTCAAACACTGAAATGTCTACCTAGCTCCAGTCAGTTAAAAGGATAGTATTGACTTCTAGCTAATGACTAGACGTACCCTACAAGTTGTGATCTGACTCCAGCAGTAAGAAACTCCCCAGTCCAATTTTCAGTCAAGCTTTATTTCCATGAAAGAAAAGCCATCACTCTCTGAGCTGAAGAAGGATACTGATTATGTTACATTTTAAAGAAGTGTAATACACTATTCTTCCTGAGGCCCCTAACCAGCTCCACGAGTTACTGTAAAGGGAATTGATGACAAATTCTCATCTTAAAAACCCTTCAAGTGAGATTTTCAGAAGATCTACCTACAGACCTCTATCCAGCAATTTTATTTTTTTATTCATATCTAGGCAATGTACATGAGAGTTAAGCGCCTAGCCACTTTCATATAGGCTCCAGTATGCTTTACGTGTATTTGCCTACATTATTCTGAGTCACTCGTTTTCTTACTTACGGGTCACCTGCTTCATTGTCAGCACACAGATACCCCCATTATGTTCCAGAACATCCCTGGAGATGCTTTAACATCACTGGAGGTCTCCCACGCTGAGACAGGAACTCTATTTGCTAAACACCAGGAAATACGGGGAGATTCAGAAGAACTCGGCAATCTAGAGGGGTCAGAATATTCATTCCAAACAACTATGGAAGAGCTTGAGGAAAATCAGAAAGATATTCAACTTACTTTACAGGAAATGCAGAACAACAACAAGCAGCAGAAGCATGAAAAGATGGTAAGTGGAAGATACAGTTCTTCCAATGTAAAACTACAATGCATCATGGAACATGTAGATCAGCCAGAAAGTTGAGTGTGCAAAGGAAAGTGAGGATCATGAGACATTTGAGTTACTTCTCAGAGGTAAAGAGCCTTACTGGCTCCCATTTTCATGGGTTAACATCAAATTCACAGGATGTGAAATCCTTCTGTTTGGATACACTGGGCCCTAATTAAATATTTTTAGATTTTTCTTCCATTTTCAAATCAGAAAAATTTTGTATGGTAGATATTTCATATTTTGTAAGACAACATTCAGTGGAAGATTTATTTTCCCACTCTAGGAACAAACTTTTCAAAGGGGAATAATGGATATTAGAGAACTAACAAGTCGTTCTACAAATGTGTGAATAATCACTTGAAAAAATATTCAGATTTTAGATGAACACACTCTATTTTCATCTATCAGCTTAATTACAAATTTATCCTCCCTCTCTCCAATTTGTAACAGGGAGCCATCAGAGACATGACAGCATCATCTTTCATCTCAAACAGTAAAACAGAGAGCATGGATGCTAAATCTCGTATGGCATATTTGGACATGAAAGAAGGAACCAGTGCTTTTCAGTCAGAAGCATCCACCAGTGCAGAGGGGCTAGAAGAGCACTTTGGCAAGTGGGTCAGAGTAACTGATATTGAGCTTGAGAGGATGAGGTGGGATTTTGTGCTGGCTAAACTGAAATATGAACATAAGGATAATGAAAAGCAAAGGCGTCATGAAGAGAGAATGGAGCTGATTCATCAACAGGCAGTAAAAAGATCGGTAGGGAAAGGAAAAGGGGTTGAACACAGTAGAGACTGAAACATACATATTCTATGTTAAGCAATTTGTAAGGTTTTATTCTTTTGTGTGTTGAGTACTACCGTGACTTCCTTTAAAGTTAGACTTGACTAGGTGATCTTTACAGCTTTACATAAACTTGACAAGAATGCAGTTGTTTTACTCCCTACAATATGAGCTACGGTAACATTCATTGCTACAAAATATATTAAACAGTTAACTCACAAATTTAATTTATAACGTAAGGATCCAAGAACTTGTATTTTTCCTTATTTTTTCACACAAACATCAGAGGAATTCCTCTGAACACCACTTTGATCAATTTCCTGGCTTGGAAACTGGTCAGTTAGATGACTCAGATAATAAATGCATGAACAAATGAGTGGATGACAGAATCTACCAAAGTAATGCATATTTTCTTGACAATTAGTCAGATTTTGCAAGCCTGTTTTTTACAGGAATAGCTGGAGTTATTTTATGTTCAGCCACACGAGTCTGTTGATAACAATAGTCCAGCCCAGAAAAGACCATTCAATTTGGCAGAGTTTAGCAAATTGGACAGCTGCAAACCTTGGTTCTCTGGGCTCTTCCTGATCACAATGGCTGTCTGTGGGCCTGACTCCCCTCTAATTTAAATGCAATTTGTCTTTGGACTGAGTTGGAGAGTAAGCAGAGTATCTGAATCTAAATCATCAATGTTTTAGAGGTACTTGCATGTTTGTCTTCTCTTGCATGTTCTGTGCTCTAAATCAGGACAGGATAGACGGATGAGTTTTACACAGTGTTTGTAGCATTTTTATTCTGCTTGTAGATAGGAGCTCAGATCATGCACAACAATGGCACTCAGCTAAGCATCACAGAAGCCCTGAAGTTTTCCATATGCTTTTTTTTTTTTTTTCTATATAGCTAATCCATAGGCCTGGATAGGATCTCACAATTATGTGCAGTAAATGCAGTTCCAAAGAAATTGATGAAGTTATATCAGAGAAAAACAGACGAGGATCAGGTCCACTGTATATTTGGCTAAATGACTGACATGCATCTGGACTAAGGAAATTAACTACTGAATCCTTTTACTAAATTAAGACCTGAAAGTTTACCCATGGGCATGTGTAAATGTATGAAAATGACCATGCAGTGAAAAAACACAGGCAACAGTTTGTGCCACAGAAGTAGAGAAGGATACACAAAAAAGCCTTACCATGCGTGTGCACTTACTTCACACCAACTGCTTTGCATACCTGCATGCTCATTCTTGCAGTAAATACGAGGTCACCTACCTGCATTTCAGAGAGAGAAAACATAGCTGCTGGTAGGGATATGGGTGGGCATGTGACACCTATCACTTAACACAGTGTAGCTGATGTGCTCTCAGTTCACATGCTGGCTTATCTCATAGCAACTTTTTATGAATTAAGTGTGCCAGAAGGCCAGGTGTGCTCAGAGAGCACATGGAGTGGGTGCAAGTGGAACATAGTTGTGTGACATAATGTGTATTTTTCCCTTTTTCCACAGTTTAGCCAAGGACTCCAAGACCTAGTCCGGCCACCAAACCAGTATGCTTTGTTCCTATACTGCTTCATCTTTATTCATGTTATTTATACAGTGAAGGAGCTGACCTTCTACTTTTTACAAACCCATTACCTGTTCTGTTTTGCTATTGTGATCCTTTTCATCCTCAAAAAGATTTTCCAGGATTACAAAAATAAGAAAACATGTTCTTAAAAAGGGCAGCATACTGTACACTTTTTGCCCCTGTTTTCACTGCTTTTTGTTATCTTTTCCTCACTACACCACTCATACATGTAGGATTTCAGCTATTGTTATATGCACAGTAGCCTAATTATGGAAAACTAACTGATTTCGTCAATAAGATTGTGACTGAATGACATAATTTGACTTCATGCTGTCTCACCAACATGTTTGGCATCATTCAGGGGCATTCATCTCTACAAATAAAGTTATATGCAAGAAAAAATAAATTTGGAATGTGTTCTATTTTATCTCACTTCCTTGGATTAACACAGTGACTTGGGCTTACTTATAATAAATTATCACAGAGAAGTTTCAGAGGTGGATTTATTAGCATGGAGGGCAGTGCTCAGGAGTATTTAATATTCTGCTATGTGTTTGCTAGCATGCACTGGCCAGACACCTCACTTTGTCTTAGGGCTGTCTCTACCTCTGGGATAGAAGCATTCCTCTGTGCTGTGCCATCCTCCATAGTTACACACAGTTTCTATCAGCAGTAGACCAGCAAGCATTGACGAGCACATACATGCTTATAATTGAGGTATTGTGATTTCTGAAGTATCAACATTGATAAGGAAAGATATAAAATGTAGCCCCAATAAAAAGGCATTTTGTCTAGTGAGAATGTGACTAGACCCTTTTAATACTATTTCAGTCATGCAATAGAGGATATTTCCAGTAGAGAAAAAGTGAAGAGTCATCTACCATGTGATATGTCAGGTTAGAGCAGGTGCAATCTTACAAACCTTCTCCTGCTCTTAGAATCAGAGCATTATTAATCTATATATCCCCATCATAGAATCATAGAATCGTTAAGGTTGGAAAAGACCTCAAGGATCATCAAGTCCAACCATCAACCCACACCACCTAACTCGCTAAACTATGTCCCATGTCCCTGAGCACCACATCTACACGTTTCTTGAACACCTCCAGGCATTGCGACTCCACCTCCAGGGATGGTGACTCCACCACCCGTGCACATGCCTTACCTCTGCCTTTTTAAAATAAGTCTTGTTTCAGTCTACGTTCTCTTTGCATTGTGTTCTTAACAGGAAAACAACTGAAATAGTATTTGATGATCAGGCTGGATATGAAAAAAGCCATTTAGGTCAGGGTGAAATGGGTGTAGTCTAATCCTACTCAGGTTATCATGCATCCATGGTAAATTTCACCTCAGTCAGATGGTATTCTCTGGGGCATGCTACGGGCAATTTGTTTACAAAACCAATGCTATGTACAAGGCTGTCTGAATCAAGGCAGCAGAGAAAAGAGTATATCAGATCCAGGTGTAGTGACTGGGTAGTTTCCTGACAGTGCAGAATGAGTGCAAGGTGCGGGGTCTTCTCGCACTTCCACAGCCTCTGCATTTCTGAAGCAGTGGAAGATTACAAGGAGGATCCACTTTACATGTATGGAAAAATCTGCAAAAGATTGAAATGAACGATGACACAATCTTCCCAAAAGGAAATTTAACCAGGTAAAGTGAAATTGCTTGCTATAGGTGTGACCTACATCTGCAGATTCAAAGAACAAAACCAATCAAAAATAAGTAAGTAAATAAAAGCTTTTTCCCAGCTGCAGTTTCTCTTTTTCCAGCAAAAATGACCATTGGCTCTCACTGAAATCCCAGGCCCCCTCATCTGCTTTAGGATTTTTGTGGAAAGCAGTAATTCAACTTTTTTTTTTCAAATTACTTAAGACCTGATAAAAAAACTGCTGTGTTTTTCGCTCACTGAAATCATAAGAATGTCACCTGGACAGCTGAGAGAAGCCTGTTCTTTGTTTTCTGCTGAATTTGAAAATGCTTCCTGTAGGTAACCTGTATGTGAATATGGTTTGCAATAGCACAAGCAACTTTTAATACTTTTCTTCATTGTTGGTAACTCCTGGGTTTTAATCAACAGGAGAGATTATATCAATCCACATTTAATATTGGTAATCCAAACAACAGCTAGAATTAGTCAGAGATGTGATACCACTGCAAGTTCCAGAGTACAGAGTCTGCACAGAAGCATTATTTTTAATATTTGTTCAATACTAACTTTTGGGAGGGGCAGAAGGCATTGGTAGTCTTTTGCATTTTATTTACTGCACACAAGAGGTAATACTACATAGTCTCAAGACAGCTGCTTCACCATGCATGCATATTCCAAACACACACATATCCCCAAATCATAAATGCAAGGAAGAAAAATAGATCAGCCTTTCTCTGATGAGTGCTCTCTAAGTCATTGCTGTACATAAAGGTACCCATGCTGTACTTTTAAACTTCTTCTTATGGTGATGAGAGCTAGATTTTTGAAGTGGCAAGTTCTGTGTAGCTGCCTAGCTTTTAGGAGCTGCAGCTCCAGCTTTCAAATTGTTGAAATACCATGAATCCATTTATAAAGTCATGAGAAGCAGCCATACAGGAAAGGGCAGAAAAACCCAAACTCCTCCCTAACTGCTTCAGGTCCTTCTGAGCTTTGATCAGCTCTTGCTCTTCACTGAGGTGAGAAATACACCCTTGGAGTTGCCTGGCTGTGCCCTACACCTTTATTTTATGACAGTAGGCACACTCATCACAAAGCGTTTGGTTTCATGTGAAACCACAGGAAAGTTGGTGGTTTCAGCTATTTTAAGCCTAAAAGTAGGCAGTATTTTACAGGTGGTTTGATTTCAAGAAAACTGCAGCAAGTAAAAATAGCTTTTTAACCCACAGGATTGTGTGGCATAAAGCTATCCTAAAGTTTCAGAAGCCACTATGGAGATCCTCAAATTAATGGTTAAAAATAATAATGTCATAATTCCCATGGGTTTTGGCAGCTAACTTGTGGTTTTTCAGTACCTGAGTTGGGCATTACTGATCTTGACAAATCAAAATATTTGCCGATTCACCTACTAGCAAAGACCGTATTTCACAGCACCTATTTATCATTCTCCAATAAGGAGGCTGGCTACACCAAGTCAAAGATCAAACTTGGACATGAAAGGAAGGCATCAACCCACTAGATAACCAAAACTTGTTTTGTGATAGCAACTTTGTTCTGGGGCCCTCTAGCCAGAAATTTTTCTGAACTCAAAGCTGAGTTTTTTTAGAAGGCTGCAAGGTCAAGTTTTGTTGCAAAAAGTTTGCAGAGGCTCTTTTCAGTTAATTGGTGACTTCAGACCTCAGCTTTTTATTTTGAGCATAGGATGAGCTCCTATCTATCTATACACAGGCTTAACAAATCTGATCAAAATCTTCCTCTTCTCTCTTTTTTTTTTTTTTTTTTTTTTTTCTCTTTCTACAGTGGAAGTCTAAGAAGCAGGGATAAGGAGAAAGGCAGTGCAGCAGAAAGGAAGATCTTGCCTGAATATCATCCACTATTTTCAGTCCCAACGCTGCAAAGCTCAGGAGATCAAACGAGCCCCAGCTAAGCGCATCAGTCACATCGTTTGCTTCGCCCCTTGCTTTCACCCCGCCAGCTGAGTGAAACTCCAACGAAACACAACTCGGCAGCAGCAGGAGCCCGACAGCACGCCGCTTGCAACCGGCCTCCGATCCA